CTTCTGCGGTGTGTGTGAACTCGATTCTCCTCCCTCCACAAAAAAACTTCTACCACTAGGACTATTTCTATTACTTGTACTCCATTCACTTTTGATACTTCATCAATAATTACTTCTAAATGAATTATTTCTACTTAGGAATTAGGTTTTAATAATACACATTTATTCTTAAGATAAACTGCAACAACTTTTTTTCTTTAGATTGTATGTTTCTTAAAAAAATTAATCAAACAGATTTATGCTTCTGACCTTCCTTTAATATATGCTTGCCAATAGTAGAAATGTTGTTTCAAGTATAAGGAAATTTTTTTTATTTTTCAATTCCACACTGAAATTTAACAGTTAGAACACATGTTTTCTTTAAATGAAAAAAACCTTTAATATCATATATTTATTTGATGTATGAGTGTTTAGTATTTTCTAATCGAATGTCAAGTCTATTGTGTCTTATAATAGTGGAGAAAATATAGTGATCATTTTTTTCACTTCATCTCATCAATGTTGTTGCAGTATTCTGTTAATACAAAATCAGATGTTCAAGAAAAAAGTTCTTGTTCTGGCACTGACAAAATATTCACTAATTTTTTCGAGAGTCTCAGTCAAATTTACCTATTTTAGGTGTAAGATTTAATATATTTAAGTATTCCCACTTACATGTACCTATTAACGATTTTACGTATTAAAATAAGTAATGTTTAAGTATGGTATATCCTAACTAGGGTTTATAAGTGTGTCTGCAATAAAATTTTCATTTCAAAATTAGAGTAATTTCGATACATTCCTGGTTTATAACACATTATAAAAACTAGAACTCCTTCTAGGAAAATGGCAGGCCAATGAGAATGGTGCTAAACGGTGTTGTTTGTGATAATTATGACGGTAATAGTTAGTTAGTATTTCCTTTTCTTTGCATACACAATTTTCATTTTAATAGATGCATAACAAGTATAACACCACTAACCAAATTATATTTACAGAAACTTATTATTATAGTTATTATTGATTAAAAAATAAAAAAAAGCAAAAATCTTTTGAAATTTGCAAGTTTTTTATCTCGCTAATGTTAGTACTATATCTTTAGGAGGCAGACTATTATAGTTTAATTGGGTACCAATTATTTGTTGCTATAGTTACCAAAAGTAATACTTTTGTTTGATCATATCTGAAGTTAATCTAGAGAGTTAAAATCATATTATAATAGCGATCTGAGTTAAAAAATGTGATAATTTTTATTTATAAGATCATTAAATACACAATTTATAAAAATGTTTATTCTGTTTGATAATCATACTTCTTTGTAATATTCAGATTTGTCGTTAAACTTATAATAAGCTGAACTTCTTTAACAATAATAGAATCAGTAATTTATATTCACACATGTATATTGTGTATGTGTGTGTTATTGTAAAATGAGTACAAGTTAGTATAGCAAGATTTTCTAATAAAGTGTGAGATAACTAGCTTAAAAAAATGTTGCATGGTCT